GACAGAAATCATATGATTATCTCCATAGATGCAGAAAAAGCTTTTGACAAAATACAACATGCATTCCTATTGAAAACACTGAAGAGCATAGAAATCAATGGAGTTTTTCTAAAAATAAGTAGCATCTATCTAAAACCATCAGCAAGCATTATCTGTAATGGAGATAAGATACAATCATTTTTGTTAAAATCAAGGATGAAACAAGGATGTCTATTATCACCATTGTTATTCTATATTATACTAGAAATATTAGGTTTAGCAATAAGAGAAGAAAAAAATTGAAGCAATTAGAATAGGCAATGAGGAAGCAAAACTATCACTCTTTGTAGATGATATCATGATATACTTAGGAATCCTAGAGAATCAACTAAAAAATTAGTTGAAATAATGAAAAACTTTAGCAAAGTTGCAGGATAGAAAATAAACCCATATAAATCATCAGCAATTCTATATGTTACTAACAAAGCCCAGCAGAAAGAGATAGAATGAGAAATTCCATTTAAAGTAATTGTGGACAATATAAAATATTTGGGAGTCTACTTGCGAAGACCAACCCAGGAACTATATGAACACAATTACAAAGCACTTTCCACACAAATAAAGTCAGATCTAAATAATTGGAAAAGTATCAGTTGCTCTTGAGTAGGCCAAGCTAATGTAATAAAAATGACAATTCTGCCTAAATTAATTTATTTATTCAGTCCCATACCAATCAAACTACCATTACGTTATTTTATAAAGCTAGGAAAAATAATAACATAATTCATCTGGAAGAACAAAAGGTCCAGGATATCAAAGGAATTAATGAAAAGAAATGCAAGAGAAGGTTGCCTAGCTGTACCATATCTAAAAGTATATTATAAAGCAGCAATGATCAAAACTGCTTGGTGCTGGCTAAGATATAGAGCAGTGGGATCAGTGGAATACATTAGGTACACAAGACACAGTATTCAATGACTATAGTAATCTACTGTTTGATAAACCCAAAGACTCCAGCTTCTGGCATAAGAATTCACTATTTGACAAAAACTACTGGGAAAACTGGAAAATAGTATGGCAGAAACTAGGCATACACCAACATCTTACATCATATATCAAGATAAGATCAAAATAGGTACATGATTTAGATATAAAGGGTGAAACTATAAAGAAATTATAAGAGCAAGGAATAGTTTACCTGTCAAATCTATGGGGAAGGGAAGAATTTATGAACAAACAAGAGATAGAGAACATTATAAAATGCAAATTGGATAATTTTGATTACACTAAATTGAAAAGTTTTTGCACCAATACAGCCAATGCAACCAAGATGAGAAAGGAAACAGAAAGCTGGGAAACAATTTTTACAGCTAATGTCTCTTACAAAGGCCTCATTTCAAATATATAGAGAACTGAGTCAAATCTATAAGAATCAAGATATTCCCCAATTGATAAATGGTCAAAGGATATGAACAGGCAGTTTTCAGATGAAGAAATTAAAGCTATCTATAGTTATATGAAAAAATGCTCTAAATCACTATTGATTAGAGAAATACAAATTAAAACAACTCTTGAGCTACCACATTACGCCTATCAAATTGGCTAACATGACAAAACAGGAAAATGATAAATGTTGGAGAAGATATGAAAAAATTGAAACACTAATGCATTCTTGGTAGAGTTGTGAAATGATACAATTATTCTGGAGAGCAATTTGGCACTATGCTCAAAGGGCTATACAACTGTGCATACCCTTTGATCCAGCAATACCATTACTAGGTTTATGCCCCAAAGAGATCATAAAAAATGGGGAAAGACCCACATGTATAAAAATATTTATAGCAGCTCTTTTTGTGGTAGCCAAAAATAGGAAATTGAGGGGATGCCCATCAACTGAGGAATGGCTGAAAAAGTTGTGGTATATGAATGCAATGGAATACTATTCTTCCATAAGAAATGGTGATATGACAGATTTCAAAACAACCTAGAGAGACTTGCTTGACCTGATGCTGCGTGAAGTGAGCAAAATCAGGAGAACATTGTACACAGTGACAGCAACATTGTGTGATGACCAACTTTGTTAGACTTAGCTCTTCTGAGCAATGCAATGATCTAAGATGATTCCAAAAGACTCATGATGGAAAATGCTACCCACACCTAGAAAAATAACTATGGAGTCTGAATGTAGATTGAAGCATACTATTTTTTCTTTCTTTTGTTGTTTCTCATGGTTTTTCCTTTTTGTTCTGATTCTTCTTTCACAACATGATTAATGTAGAAATATGTTTAATATGATCATACATGTATAAGCTATATCAGACTGCATTCTATGTTGAGGAAGGGGAGTGGAGGGATGGGGGAAGTTTTAGAAGTCAAAATCTTATAAAAGTGAATGTTAAAAACTAAAAACTAATTAATTTTAAAAAGAGAATTAATAACTATGAACAAAATGGACAAAACCTCATCCACCAAAACGACTCCCTCATAATCAGAATCAGAATTGACCAAATAGAAACTAAAAACTCCATGAAATGTCAAAGAGTATTAAAACAAAGTCAGAAGATTGAAAAAATAGTAGAAAATGTGAGGTATCTCATCTCAAAACCATCTGACCTGGAAAAAAAAACCAAGGAGACACAAAATTTAAGAATCATTGGTCTACCTGAAAGTCATGACCAAAATTAGAGTCCAGACATTGTTTTTCAAGAAATCATAAATGAAAAATGTCTAAGTATAGTAGAAACAGAGCAAAGATAGAAAGACTCCACTGATCACCCCAAAAGAAAAAATCTTGGGAATTTTCATCACAGAAGAAATACTGTAAGTATTACCTCTCTCACAAAATTAGTTCAATTACTAAGGAACCACAATCAAGATCACACAGCTGGCATAAACTAGAGGAGATCTATAAATGTAATATTCTAAAAGGGAAAAGGATAGAATCTTATAATCAAGAAGAATTTACCTTGCAAAGTAGGGTATAATCATGCTGGGCAGAAATGGATTTTTAATGGAATAGAGAACTTTTAAGCATTTCTAATGAAAAGACCAGAGCTGCATAAAAACATTCAAGTGAAAACATAGAAGTCAAGGGAAACCTAAAAAGATACATTTATTTGAAGAAGTTGAATAGCTCCATGGTATTAGAATGCTAACATTCTAATGGAGTTCCAGAAAAATAAACATCCCCTCAGAACCTTAACGTCCTCAAATGGCATAATGAGGGTGGAATAAGAAAAACAGAGGACCTAGAGGTAAACTGGTTCTGTTTGAAGAAGGACAAGAGAAGGTAAAATAAAAGGAATACAGTAATGTAGAAAAGAAAAGCATGTTAAACTCAATAAGGAAACAATGAGAGAGGATGCCATCTTAAGAAGAAGGATAATTCTGGGGAGGGAATAAGAGCTACAAACAAAGTAGACTCCCATATTCTGAAAAGATAATCAAAAGGGGGAAAATGAGAATTGAGCCAGAATCTAAAAAGGAACATATCAGTTGGGGAAGGGCTGAGCAAATTATGGTATTATTTATTCATGTAATCGAATAGTATTGTGCCATAAGAAAACACAAAAGATGATTTCAGAGAACCCATAAAACTGATGCATGCAGAATGAAGTGAGCAGAAACAAAACAACTTATTTAAGAAAAGCAATATTGTAAAGAACCAATCTGAAAAACTTAAGAGCTCTGTTAAAAAGTATAATCAAACAAGCCTTTAGAGGACCCATTATAAAATGTTACCCATCTCTTAACAGAGAAGTGTTGAATACAAGGTGCAGAAAGAGATATACATTGTTGTATAATGAGTATCATATTGCTTGCTTTCCCAATAAGCAAGGGAAAGGCTGGAAGGAAAGGGAATTTGGAACTAAAAATTTAAAAATTAATGTCAAAAATAAATAAACAAAATTAAAAACAAAAAAGATGTATACACTGTTGTATTTGATCATTGTGGAGATTTATATTATTCAATGATCTTTAATTGCCACATTTTTCTTTCTAATTTTTTTTAATGGGGGAGCAGGTTGAAGGGAGAGAAAAGAAGGAAGTTCAGAAGGAAATACAGAAAATGAGGGTTTTTAAAGTAATATGTGGAATTCATTATATGATAAAAATAGAAGTATAAAATGAACATTCACAATTTCATATGCAATGTTCTTTTTGTGTTCGGCTATGTATAGACTCTTTTTTGTGTTTGAGTTCAGGATAAAAAAATTTACATCTTTTTTTTTAAAAAAAAAGAATAAAATAGGAGGAGAGGAAGTGGAGACACTGATTAGTGCCACTTTTTTCAAGAATTTCAACCACCAAGCGGAGGATAGCTAGTTAGGATAACAGGATCAAGTGAGAGCTTTGAGTATTTTATATTTATGCCACAGTATATTTTCTATCTGAAACTGTTCAAATCCTGTATGAAAGTTGTTTCTTTAGACACATATTCTACAAGTTTTTTTTTTAAATTAAGACAAAGTTCTTTTCCTATTCATTTTGGGTATCAAAAGGATCATCTGTTAATGGTGGTAATATCTTAAATCTTCTCTTTCACACAAAAATGTCTTTTTCTTTCCTTTTTACCACAAAACTGCTCCATGTGAAAGGAACCTTAAAGTGAGAGCGAGCTTACAGGGCAAGAGAAGGGGGAAAGCTCACTTATCAGAAGATTTTAGTGGGAAGGGAAGACGGAGCTTGAAAATAATGTCCAGGGGAGCAAGTAGGAAAATGGCCCAAAAAGAGGCAGGTACCAAGGGACAGAGTTGGGGGGAGGAGAGAAGGAGAGAAGGAAGGAGGGAGAGAGACAGATACAGAGAGACAGAGAGAGTGCGAGACAGACACAGCAACAGAGAGAGACAGAGAGAGAAAGAGACAGAGAGACAGAGAGAGGAAATGTCTTGTTAATCCACAAATCTAATAATTAAGAGTTGGCTGCACTTTAGTCTAGACGAGTGTTTTGTGCCTAGTAAAAGTCTTTCTCCTGGTTCCTCAGCTCAGGAATCCTCTTGGCTCAAAAGATCTCGACAGGCATGAGCACACCCAGTGAGGTAACCTTAGACTTCTCTTTCTCTTAATCATCCCAGTTTCTGGAAATGGGCAGTCCTTAGGTCAGACAACTTTCATTTTCCATCTGCCTTTTGCTGCTCACACACATCCAGGCTCCAGGCACAACCCACACCAACACTGACCCCAGCTCTGAGGAGGGAGACAGAAGGCTGTGCATTTTGGTAAAGCCACAGTGCTTGGATTGGCCAGGTGAGGGGTTGGCAGCACCTCTGTGGGAGGGTGGGCTCCCTGCTCTGTCCAGGGGACAGACCTGCCCTTCTCAGACAGTCTGCTTTGTTTCTCTGCTTGCTTAACTTTGGCTCTTGTGAAGTACGTGTGTGTTGGCTGAGTGCTCACTCCCTCAAAGAGCCCCAGGGTTGGCTCCTGGAGGGCAATCCTCTCACAGCTGAATGTCCTTTCATGCTTTGCCAAATCTGTGAGTGAGGGCTCTTTTTGAGGGGAGGTGGGTGAGAAGCTGAAAACAGGCCCATTGCCTCCAGCCAAAGGGTTCTTCAAAATGATTTATAAAAGTGCTCAGATTCAAAGCACAACAAAGTGATTTTAAACCACATTGAAACCAAACTAAATATTTACCAGTTTTTCCCCCAAAATATTTTAATTCAGAGACCTGAAGAGAAATGTCAGCACCATCATATGGCAGAAATTACCATTCAGGTACAGCCATGGAGAAATGTGGAATGCCCACATTATGGGCAAATAATGTTTATTCAGAATGAACACTCCCCTTAGTTATTCACTTTATCACCTTATCCCCGTTTGACTCATTTGGGGAAATGAAAACACTGACCAGTTAGTTACTATTTAAGATCACATTGCTAATGAGTGAAGGGGATTGAATTTCAGATAAACTAGGATTGGGTTCTTTCCCCCAATCTCCAATGACCTAGTTAGTAGATACACTCCCTTGTCTATTAACACTGTTCAGGAACCTTGAATCATTCACAACTAAAGTAGAAAAGTGATATTTGTGTACCCAAGAATATTTTTTAAAATTTATTTCTTTATTGACAAAACTTTACCCTTCAAAACCCCAAAGGCAAAATATGGGCATTGTAAGCCTATACTCAAGTTTTTAAAGTTTTATTCTGATCGTGATGTAATGACAAGAGATATCAACAAAAGCAATTCTTTTAAATGTCTGTAATATACTATTCCGTGTGATGTCAGCAAAGGGATGATGGTGGGCCTCAGTTTCCTCATCGATAAAAGGAAGATATAGGGTTAGATGATATATGAAAGTGAATATATGCATTTAGAAAATCTTGTAGTTTTTGTCAAATAGGGAATTCTTTCCCATTTAATTTTTGTTTTCTGATTTATCCAACATTGGGATATTGAGTTCCATTGCTTCTGAATCTCCCTTTTCTTTTCTATTTGATTTTAAAAAATCTGAGAAAACTAGAAAGCAATCTGGCAGAAATCAGGCTTAGTCCAACATTTTTGTATTCACCAATTTTCCATTCCTACAGAGTAGTTCTGTCCCCCCAATGAAAGTCGTGGATCTTGTTCAAAACATATTTTAAACTCATTCTGCCTTTCATATATACAAAGACAGTAAAAGTTGTGTCTTCAGTAGTGGTGATGGGTTTGCCTTGAAACATCTATTCTTACACTCAACTAATGCAAAGTGTGTGAAATAGCCAGGGTAGATAGACTGATTCAGCCTGTGACCACAGACGGGTGCCAAAATAACTGCTTCCTCCTTTCCCTCTAACTCCCCTCTCACTGAGAATGAGCACATGAATTTGGCCTCATTAGTACATTCTAAATAACTGAGGTAACTTGTCACAAAAAACAAAACCTTTGACTCCGATAAAGTGTGAAGGCTACCTCTGAGTTTCAATGAATTGAGATCTCTCTGGTTCTTTTTCCCTTTTCTTATCTCCATAAATCATCCAAAGGTACCTATAAACATACCCCCAGAGAAGCAGATAGAAGGGCCATGCTTCTGTTTATTTATGGAATCCTAGTAACCAGAGGATGATATATCCACGAGGAGGGAACTCTGGAGTTTTGGGGAAATAAACCAAGGGAAGGGAAACGATTTTGGCCAGGGTCATAAAACCAATTAAAGGCAAGGGTGGGACTCTGAACTGCAGTCTCTTTTTCACTTCACCACAATTAGCAATGACTTCAAAAATTCTCTGTTTACAGAAATTCTCGACAAGACGAACCAGGGGCCAAGCCATGGTGAGCAGCAACCCAAGACTCCCCAGGGGAGCACTGGAATGGAGGGTGATTGAAATGGGATAGGGTTCCCTTTTTCTTTTGGTAACTGAGATTGTGGTCCCTTTCTAATGAGACAAAAGCTGCTCTGAATGACAGCCTCCATTTCCCTGGTCTTCCCTCAGTTTGACATCTTTCCCTCTCCCTCTGGGTCAGGCAGGGCTTTCCCCTATGTAGTGGCATCAAGGAGTGCCCTTCTTTGCTCTGGTGGTCTGAATAGCACTATATAGGTTCATGCCTCACACCTCACATTTCTCCATCAACTCTCATCCCTATGAGAAAATAAGAACCCTGGGAGATAGATAACATCTCAGACTGTGAGCCAATAGAGGTTGGGGGAGAAAGGGAAGGGGATCATTCATTCTGTCCACCCAATCTGACTGTTTTCTGTGCTGCTCTCACATTAAATGTTTTTGCACTAGAAGTAAAAAAAGTAGTTGTATTTGTGCCCAAGGGTATAAAAATACAGATGACAGAATTTTAAGTTCTAATGACAAAGGTTACTATGTGCAAACTCTTGGACCCCTTCTCAAATGCAGACAATCCACCAACCCTGGCTGCATTCTCTTTTTAAAAAAAAGTTTATTTTTTCCCCAATTACATATAAAAATAATGTTTAGCATTCATTGTTTTTCTTTTTAAGTTTTGGGTTGTAAATTTTATCCTTTCCTCCCTCCCCTCCTCCTTCCCTGAGATGGTAAGCAATGTGATATAGGTTCTACATATGCAATCATGTAAAATATTTCCATGTCAGTTACTTTGTACAAGAAGACTTGAAAGGAAAAAGGAAAGAAAGAAAGAGAAAAATAGTATGCTTTGGTCTGTATTCAGACAACATTAATTCTTTCTCTGTGATGGCAAATAGCATTTTTCATCATGAGTCCTTTGGGATTATCTTGCATGATTGTATTGCTGACAATAGCTAAGTCATTCAGAGTTCTTCAATGTACAATATTGTTGTTACTATGTACAGTGTTCTGGTTCTGTTCACTTTATATCAGTTCATGTAACTCTTTCCATGTTTTTCTGAAATCATCCTGCTTGTCATTTCTTGTGGCACAATAATATTCAATTAAAATCATATACCATAGCTTTTTCAGCAATTCCTCAATTGATGTGCATCTTCTCAATGTCCAATTCTTAGCCACCACAAAAAGGGCTGCAATAAATATATATGTACAAATAATCCCCACTTTTTAATCTCTTTGGGATATAGACCTAGCAGTGGTACTGCTGAATCAAATGGTATGCACAGTTTTATAACCCTTTGGACATAGTTACAAATAGCTTTCCAGAATAGTTAGATCAGTTCACAACCCCACTCATGGCACATTAGCATCCCAGTTTTCCCACATCCCTTCCCACATTCACAGTTTTCCTTTTCTTGTCATATTAGCTAATCTGATAGGTGTGAGGTGGTACTTCATAGCTTTTTTAAAGTACATTTCTCTAATCAACAGTGATTTAGAGCAATTTTTATGTGACTACAGTTAGCTTTGATTTCTTTGTCTGAAAACCTCTTGTTTATATCCTTTGACCATTTATCAATTAGGGAATGACTTGTATTCTTATAAATTTGAGTCAATTCTCTTTATATTGGAGAAATGAAGTCTTTATCAGAAAACCTTGCTGTAATTTTTTTCTTCCAGTTTTCTGCTTTCCTTCTCATTTTTGTTGCATTGAATTTGTTTACGCAAGAACTTTTTAATTTTTTATAACCAAAATTATCTATTTTACATTTCATAATGCTCTCTATATTTTGTTTGGTCTTCAATTTTTCTCCTATCCATAAATCTGACAGGTAAACTATTGCATTCTCTCCTAATTTGCTTAGGAAATCACCCTTTAAGTATAATTTTACCCATTTTAACCCTATCTTAGGATACAGTGAAAGATGTTTTTCTATGCCCAGTTTCTGCCATACTGTTTTCCAGTTTTCCCAGTAGTTTTTGTCAATATGAGTTTTTCTCCAAAAAGCTTGGATCTTTGTGTTCATCAAACACTAGATTACTACAGATATTTACTACAATGTATTCTGAACCTAGTCTATTCCACTGATCCACCAGTCTATTTCTTAGCCAGTAACGGATTATTTTGAAAATTACTGCTTTATAATGCAGTTTGAGATCTGGTATGAGACAAAAGCTGCTTTTAGTGATAGCTCCATTTCCTTATCTAGGCCACCTTCTTTCACGGTTTTTTTTCATTAATTCCCTTGATATTCTTGACTTTTTGTTCTTCCAGATAATTTTGTAATTATTTTCTAGCTCTATAAAATTTTATTTGGTAGTTCAGTTGGTATGGCATTGAAGAAGTAGATTAATTTAGGTAGAATTATAATTTTTATTATGTCGGTCAATCAATGAACAATTGATATTTTTCCAATTTTTCAGATCTGGCTGTTTTTGTGTGGAAAGTGTTTTCCAATTATGTTCATGTAGTTCCTGAGTTTGTCTTAGAAGGTAGATTCCCAAGTATTCTATATTGAGCAAAGGTAGTTTAAATGGAATTTCTCTTTTTAACCCTTGCTGCTGGACTTTGTTGGTAGTATATCGAAATGCTGATGGTTTATGTGAGTTTATTTTGTGTCTTGCAACTTTACTAAAGTTGTTAATTATTTCAATTAGTTTTTTTAGTTTATTCTCTAGGATCTTTTAAGGATACCATCATATCATCCACAAAGAGTGATAGTTTTATTTCCTCATTGTCTATTCTAATTCCTTCAATTTACTTTTCTTCTCTTATTGCTATAGCTAGCATTTCTAGAATAATATTGAGTAATAGTGGTGATAAAGTACATCCTTGCTTCACCCCTGATCTTACTGGGAAAGCTTCTAGCTCATCCCCATTACAGATGGTTTTGGATAAATGTTTTTTATCATTTTAATGTAAGCTCCATTTATTCCTATGCTCTCTAGTGTTTTTTTTTTAAATAGGAGTGGGTGTTGTATTTTGTTCAAAGACTTTTTCTACATCTTTTGAGATAATCATATGATTTCTGTTGGTTTTCTTATTTATATGATCAATTATGCTGATATTTTTCCTAATTTTGAATCAGCTTTGCATTCCTCATATAAATCCCAGCTGCTCATTGTGTATGATATTTGTAATCTATTGCTATATGCCTCTTGCTAGCATTTTATTTAAACTTTTTGCATCAATATTCATGAGGCAAATTGATCTATAGTTTTCTTTCATTTTTTTTTTTGAGACAATTGGGGTTAAGTGACTTGCACAGAGTCACACAGCTAGTCAGTATAGTTTTCTTTTTCAATTTTTGCTCTTCCTGTTTTAGGTATCAGCACCCTATTCATGTCACAAAAGGAATTTGGTAGAACTCCTTCACCTATTTGTCCAAATAGTTTATATAGTATTGGGATTAATTATTCTTTAAATGTTTGTTAAAATTCACTTGTGAATCTATCTGGCCCTGGGGATTTTTTTTCCTTGGGGAAATTCATTGATGGCTTGTTCAAATCCTTTTTCTAAGATTAGGTTATCTAAGTATTCTATTTCCTCTTCTTTTAATATGTACAATTTATTTTTTTGTAAATAGTCAATCATTCCATTTATATTGTCAGATTTATTGGCATATAATTAGGTAAAATAGCTCCCAATAATTGTTTTAATTTCTTCTTCATTTGTGGTGAATTCATGCCTTTCATTTTTGATACTGGTAATTTGTCCTTCTTTTCTTTTTTAAATCAAATTAATCAATGGTTTATCTATTTTATTGTTTTATTTTTCATAAAAGAAGCTTCTAATTTTATTTATTAGTTCAATGGTTTTTCTTACTCTCAATTTTATTAACCTCTCTTTTGATTTTCAGGATTTCCAAATTTAATTGGAGATTTTTCATCTGTTCTTTTTTGAGTTTTTTAAATGTATGATATAAGCATTGACATATTTAAATTTCCCTGATAAATTTGGTATGTTGTCTCATTTTGATTCTCCTTAATGAAATTATTTATTATTTCTATAATTTGTTCTTTGATTCAGTCATTCTTTAGGAACAGATTATTTAGTTTCTAATTAATTTTAATCTCCCCTTCCACTGCCTTTTTTGAATGTAATTTTTATTACATTCTCATCTGAAAAGGGTGCATTTAATATTTCTGCTTTTCTATATTTGGTTGTGAAGTTTTTATGCCTTAACACATGGTCACCTTTTGTGTAGATTCCATGTAATGCTAAGAAAAAGGAATGTTCCTTTCTATTCCTATTCAATTTTCTCCAGAGAGCTATCATATCTAAATTTCTAGACTTGTCTTCATACCCACAACATCTTTTTTGTTTATTTATCTAGTTCTGAGAGGGAAAGTTGAAGTCTCCCACTAGTATTGTTTTATTGTCTATTTCTTCCTGTAACTAATTTAAATTCTTTAAAAATGTAGATACTAGGGGGTGTAGCCAAGATGGCAGAGTACAAGCTGTGACTTGCTTGAGCTCTCTGCCAAACACCTCCAAATACTGGTAAAAAATGACTCTAAACAAATTCTAGAGCAGCAGAACTCAAAAAGAGACAGAAAAAAAACAAATTTCCAGCCCAAGACAACCTGGATAGTTGATGGGAAAGGTCTGTTTCACTGAGCTGGGAGAAGAGCACAGTTCAGCATGGGTCATGCAGGCAAAGATGGGGTACCAATCACCTCATGAAAGAGATCCCCAAAGGAAAACTCCTAGGAATATTATAGCCAAATTCAAGAGTCTCCAGGTCAAGGAGAAAATATTGCAAGCAGTCAGAAAGAAACAATTCAAGTATTGTGGAAACATAATCAGGATAACACAAGATTTAGCAGCTTATACATTAAGGGATCAGAGGGCTTGGAATATGATATTGCAGAGGTCAAAAGAACTAGGATTACAACCAAGAATCACCTACCCAGGAAAACTGAATATAATCTTTCAAGGGAAAAAATAGATGTTCAATGAAATAAAGGACTTTGAAGCATTCTTGATGAAAA